GACTGGCAGGGACACCTTCCACTAGACCAGGCTGCTCAAAGCCCCATCCAGCCCAGCCTTGAACACTGCCAAGGATGAGGCTAAAGGTCAAATTTGCCACTATTTCAGGATTTATAAACAATTTTTGCAGAAATATCTTAGTAGAGCTTTTCTTAAAACTTATTAAATACATGAATAGCTCCTAATCAGTTAGCAATTTGGACTGGCCTTTTAAATTGGCTGGATAATGGAAGTCTCCAAAGTCTCCGAGAGATCCATGGACAGATTGCCCACATTGGTATGAGCACTTCACAGAAGACAGGAGAGAAAGAGATCCCTCTTTGTGCATGTAGCATGTTTACAACTGGCACACTTGTTCCCTTAAAGTTTCCCTTGAACAAAATAATGCTCAGGATACAGTAAAGGCATCAAATGACTCCCACCGGCAAAGTCTCCTTTCTTGACTGTTTATTTTTGTTTCCTAAATCACAAGTAGTTCCTGCTTTTGTAGGACAAAAGAGAATGTACTGAAGAAACTGGAACTAGCACTTGCACTTTGTGCTCTACCTATGCATTGACCGTAAGCAGAAATACAGACAAAACGCTTTCCATATCAGTTTTTAAAATAACTGCTATTTATTAACTCAAAGTATAAATCTAATTCACACAGCACTCTATAGCCATCAACATTAGAGAGGCCAAAACCGAAACCTTCTCAAAGTCTATTTAAAAAATGTTTGGTTTTGGCCACCTGGGCCCAAAAGAAATGTTGTGGTGGCAATGGTGTTACAGCTTTATTTTGGCCTCAAACTCCAAAGTTATAACAGATTTCTCGGGTTATACAGTGTTCTCATATTTTATGGAAACTGACTAACATCAGAAGCATGCTCCAGCAAGGAAAAAAAAGAAGTTGTTCTTAAACATTTCACCAGTGAACTTTTTTTGAGGGAAAAAAAACCATCAGCCTTTTCTCCGCTGTGTTGTATTGCAGCATTCACTAGAACAGATCTGTACAACACAAGATCTGTCGATCACCTACAGCCTTGAAAGCTATATCTTTGGTCTTCTGGTGCTTACAACATGCACCATGTGGCCTGCAGCATGTGTCTCCCTGCCAGATGGGCAACCAATCTGTATACCTTCCACCCGGGCAGTAAGCCAGTCCTAATGTGCCTACCTCCTGCCTGGAAGTTACATGTGTGCTGTTCGGCCAGCAGCAACTGGGAATACAGTATTGCTTCTGAGCCTTGGGTTGGCTAAAAAATAGCATCAGCTTCCCAGGAAAATATTTTTTGAGAAGAGTCAGTGGCAAAAGGGTGGGGATGGTACTACCACTGTGCCCTTTCTTAGTTCTTTATGTTGGAATGAGAAATGGGAAAGGCAGGAGAAGAGACATTGCTCAAGAAAAGGCACTTTCAGTAGTGGAAAGGAAGGATTTTGGGTCAAAAAGAGCACAATGAATGGTTGCAACAGGGAAAGGCTTGGTACAGAAACAGGGAATAGGATGATCCACTGTTGACACACTGGAAAGGGCCTCATATTTGAAACAGAAGGCAGTCACATCACACTTGCTAGGCACTGGAGTACAACACAGGGTTTGATCCCCGCAGCTTTTCAAATGACCCTCTCCAGGTAACGGAACTGAAACTATCCAAGAATCCACCCTAGTCGTGTGTTCACCACATTAAAAAGGAATTTACAGATCTCTAAATTGTGCCTGAAAGACAAGTCTGAAGTTTTAGTATCTCAGACCACGACACTATTGCACAGCAAAGTTGTTCTACCAATTCAGTGGCAAAATTTGTAATTAAACTTACATACTTATTGAAACCCTGACTTAGAGAACATCGCTAATAAGCCATAATTATTCAGAGAAAGAAGTTTATTTGTTAAGATATTGCCTTTCAGAATGCAAAAGCCTAGAACTCCTCAAGTCTCAAGCCTGAATACGAAACAGAGAAGGGCTAATGTCTTCTCATACTATTTTGGATAATTTAGACAGGATAGCTAGCATCTCTATTACCTGCAGAAGGTCTTTATGTATTCTTGATTGAATCTGATGAATCCAGCACACTGTTGGAATGACTTGGGACCCAGACCTTTAACTTCCTTGAGCTGTTCTCGGTTTATAAATGGCCCGTTCTTCTCTCGCCATTCAATTATATTTTTAGCTCTGTTAGCATTCAGTCCTGCAATGTGTCTAAGAGAAGTTTATAGAATGCATTTATTACCATTGACCGGTTATTAATACAAGTGATACATAAATACAAGGATACACATTATGTAGAAAATCTGGTATACAAAACTTAAAAACAGCCAAGATATTTGCAAATAGACTTTTAGGCCAAAGGCATCATTTGAAAAAGGATCCCTTCTCTTAGTTCTGTGGAAGGAATCTACTCAAGTCAACAGAACTTGGTACAGCAATACACTTCTGCACATACCTAACTCGTAAGCCAGGGACATGTACTTTATGATCTGTTGGCTATTTCGGTAATGCCAATTCAATTTGTCATGTCTTATGGCTTGCCCCCACCTGCCTGCTTCAGGAAACAATGTGGGAGGAGGATTCAGAACATGTAAATTGTTCCTGTGTGAAAATCCCCTCCCAGCTATTCTCTTGCAATGGTACCGCAACACCGCATGAAGGACTCGGTGTCTGCTATCCAGAAGCAGAGTATCTGGGAGCAGCTTGCCTTCCTCACACAATTTAACAGATCAACAAAGCTTGTTCCTTTTCTCTCAGGTGCTCTTGAGATAAAAGAGCAGCTGGGAACAGGCTGCATGAGTTCTGAAGGCAACTCAGATCTGGCAAAGAACTTCTGACTGAAGTGCAACTGCAGTTAGCCAAATTCCTTCAGGAAGCAGTAGGTTTGCTGCATTTTTTCTGTATGTACGTATGAGTACAACTTTCTGTGTATGAAGCATGTTAACCATAGAACAAGTGAAAGAGCTGTGGTGGGTAGTTACTCCTGGCACTAGGGAAGGAAATGTCATCCATCTGGCTCTATATTCCAGATGCCATTGCTTTAAGTCAACGGCAGCAGAGACCTGTTTGTGGAATGGCACTGACTGATTCTAGAAAAAAACCCACAAAACTAACCACCAGCAAACCTGGCAAGAATAGAAAAAATCGGAGAGGGGGGTGGGGGAATAAATCTTTCCATTATTCTCATCCTCAAGCAAAAGTTAAAAAAATAATCCAAAGTTGGAGAAATTTCAGAATTAAATTCCAGACACACACCTTTAACCACAGACAAAAATATTAATCATTACGATTGGAATTTTTGCAAAAAATTTCTTGGAAACATTATGAAACCTAGCTTATTTACAGACAAAGGAACATGACGCAGTTGACAGAATTTTCCACTAATTAAGTCTTTCAAACATGATACTCCGCAGTAATGTAAGTACTGTAGCACTGTCACCCCTTCCACATGTAATATGTGTAAAGAAGTGTATTTGATGCATCAGAAAGACCTGCTCATGCTATATTCTAGCTACAGTGACAATTTCATACACTGTACCTCTGAGGGAAACTACATCTACACAGAATAGCAGAACTGATCAGCGGAGGGTCAAGTTAAATCTTGATGCAGCACATAAATATGAGCTTTGTAAGCCAGGTTAATTAGACCAAACAAAGCACTTAGCCAGTACGGCTATCACCTGTAACCATAACTGGACAAGTGTCCTTCCACATTCACAGTTCTGGTGAGAGACAGTGGCACCTCAGCCTGGTGGTCAACTGCACAATACAGCGGTGCCCTGTAGAAGGCTGACAGCGCTCACCCACTGCACTTGCTCAGGTAGGCTTTTATTCAAGGAATGAAAGCTGGTCAGCCTCATTTAGCAATTAGGTAATGCTTGCTTTCTTGCTAATAGCTGATCTAAATCTGACAGTAGGTGAGACAGAAGGTAAATCAGGAGTCAGGCTAAGGGTTGGATACACAGAAAAAGAATATGGAAGAGAAAGTGGAAAACTAAAAAGAATAGAAAGAGAGCCTCATCCAAAATATGGAAAGAAGTTTTTGAAAATTATTACAAAGGGTTAAAAAATTAAAGATAAAGCTAGCAAGAATACATTTTTCTTAACTTTGATAGCTAATATAATTGTCATTACCAAGAGTATGGATATTTTTTCTTCCTCTCCTACTACAGAGGATGACAGCCACACTTTTGCTCTTCTTAAGAGGCTATTCAGCTAAAAAATTCTGAATTCTACACACTCAAGAGAGAATGAACTTTCAACTTCTAACCAAGAGAAATAAAATCCTGAACATTTTCCAAGTAAATATGGAATATTATTTTAAAAAAAAAGAACAGTAAAAAGGAATACATTTTTCAGCAGTTTCCCCTTAAATCTTTCCTTTTCTCCTTTCCTCGCCCAACTTTTACAACCTGTTCCACTTCGCAGTACCTATAAAAATACCTTCTAAGAGACAGAAAGTACATTTGAAAAGCCCTTTCTCAGTGAAAAAATACAAATTGATTATATCAAGTTTTTCTAAAATTGTAGTGTTGGCTCAACATTTTTAAATATCTGGTTTTCTCTGAAGAACAGTTTTACCATGGAGAATCACACATACCCTCAAAAACTGGCTCTTAACAATCCAGTGAAATACTGTCTTAATGTGTCATTTTCATGTAACTGGAAGTTTAACACAAGAGCCATTTGCTCCAGCTGAGCTTGAGTCAGATGGCAGACTAAACAGAGACTCTGTGATCCAGAGCCATGTAATTACTGGAATAGGAAAGCGTTTCACTCACCTTAATAGTATTTCTGAGCAGATGTTAATATCAACTCCTACAAAGCTGACACACTCTTCAACCACACTGTCCAGAGTTGCTTTGAGCAAAGTCTGTGATACATCATGCTGAGAAACAAAAATGGAGATAATCGGGTTACTCAAATATCTAAGAGTACATAAATAAGAACTGCAAAAAATACTAACATTTATGAAATACTTGCTGGAACTTACCAATATCTTATGTGAGGGTACCAGTTAAACACGAACTGTAGAACATATTTTTAAAAGGTCTCGAGTATCTCTTTGAGACATTTTTGTCATGATACAAATCCGTATGCCAAGATACTTCACATTACTGTTGGGTTTTTTGGTTAATAACTATTCCCAAACAAAACTATATTGAACACAATGATTACTCAAAAGGAGTAACGCTTCCATTTATTCACTATGCCTTGTCTTTAACATGACATTTACCTATAATATCAGTTAAAAAATAAAACAATATTTTAGAAATAAGGTAGTTGGAGAAAAGATCACAAATGTACTTTTGTACCTGCACACAAATGGTTGCAAAATTGTCCTATTTATGAGCATCACACTACAGTACTTATTTACTAAAAGAACAAGCCAGGTATTGTATGAGGGTGGGCAATACATAAGGTACATATCAGCCCTGCAGCAACCAAGCGTTTCAGATTTTGAACAGACGTTTCTGAGAAGATTGGCAGGTCCTTGACTGAAACACCACTAATGGAAATTCTTCTATTTTCTCCCTTATTGTTCATAGTGCTTCCCCTTTTTCCCCACTAAAAGAAAATCAGTCACACTTGCTAAAGATAAAAGTTCTGAAGCTCTAAGACTTCTTTTCCTCCACAAGGTAGGCATATTTCAATCTGTAACTGCTAGTTCCCCATACAAGCCGAACAGTGCTTAGAAGTCTGACCTGGAGGGAAAAGCCCCTCTAAATGCAGGAACTAATTCAATCACTATGTCGGCTTAGCTTCAGGGCTCTTCTACATCCCTCACGTAATTCTGGGTTGATCTGCTGTGGTTTTGTGATGCATCCATTTAGGACATCAAGCTGGATCCAAGCCAAGACACCAAACACTCCATCTATTATTTTGTTTTACCTTCTAAGCCATTCAGATCTTTTAAGATTTCACAGTTAAATTTAACATGCCAACAGTATCAATCCCAATATACTAAATATTGATGATTCATCAAGCAGTGGTTAACAACTGAAACAATCATAAAACTTACGGCGATGTATTTCATAGCCCACTCTCTTCAGATAATGGTAATATGATGTATTTTCATGATGCTATACCTAATAAAGTTACTTACAAACATTACTTACAAACAGCAAGCACAAATTTTGCCAGTATGGCTCCTCCTATATAAGGTTTGCACACAAAAAGCAATGTACATGCATATGTACATTTGCACACAGTCTTGGCCTCACAGCCACCAAGCTTAACTTGTACACTTTGCAGATCAAACGCCAGTTTCTACATACTAATGTGTTGCTACTACAACACAATGGCTTCTTTTCTGAATAAAGAGATATAAACAAAACAAAATATCCCACACCCTAAAAAGAAGTCTTATATTTCTATTTTTCTGACTTACTGAAGATGCAGCTTCTCGTAGCCAGAATGTTCTATATATTCCCTCCTTTTTCTGCCATCAGCTGAGTTATGTACTAGAGCTAGAAGCTTCCAGCTCACACACACACTCATGCAAGGATGCATTTATGTAACACAGTACAAAAAACAGAACAAAACCATTCAGAAACAACACACATTTTCTTCTCTTTGCCAAGTACAGCTGGCAAATGCTGGGCTAGATTTTCCATGATGAATCACAAATTCAAAATCTATTAAGATACTAATTTTATTTTTTTTTAATTATGATGAAGGAAGATGAAAGGAAAGAAAAAAAATGCAAAGGTCTCAATTTCTTTCTGCTTTTAGTAAAGGCTATGACTCCAAGATACTTGGAAGTTCATTATCATATAGTTTCACAACTTACAATAACAAGTTCCATTCACTGTAGTAGTTACTGGCTACCTCTAAAAATACCTTGGTCTAAAACAACTACTTAGAATATAAAGTAGAGTCTGTGGCAGAGAATTGGGTAGACTGCTGTTTTCCTAGATTTCAGTCTCGTTTTTTAAGATGATAATTCTTCAGAAGGAGTAACACGCAGTTACATGAGTCAGAACAGAGGCATTCGTCATTGTCTCCATAATGCCTTATAGCATGGGGTGGAGCAAAGAAGGTACCCACAGATCTGGCCTCATCTTTCTAAGCAGTTGTTTGGAAGGCTTGACTCAGCAGAAGCTTTATTTCCAGTCTGCTGAAAGTGAAACTAGATAGCAATTCATCCAACTATAGTACTCCCAAAACCAAGGAAAGGATATTATCACTGTCAAAAGCTAAGCACCCTGAAATACCTCTGCTAGTGGAAGCCAGTCCAGTGCTTACAGATCATCAGTTTCAAATATGAAGCTGACATTTATATGAAGATTGATGTTTGTGGGTGCAATAGTTCATGTAAAGTTTTGTGTAACAGAATACATACAATTTGGAAAACTGGTTTGGTGGTTTGTTTGTTTTTTTTTTGGTGCCAGGAAGACAAGAAGTTCTCAGGTCCCAAGATTTCTCCCAAAGATGATTTGCATCCTTTGACTTTATTGCTACTTAACAGTCTGCATTAAAAAAACCCCAACAAAACAACAAAATAAGACATGCACAAGTAGTTGTACTTTACTACTGCAACACACAACAGTCATACCACTTGGAGTGGACATCACAGCACGTATATGAAGATATAGACAAAGTGAATGGACAGGTGTGACACACCAGGAAAAGCAGAAAACAGCATGGCTAAAACAGTCACTCAGCTACCAACCAATACCTCACAGAAGTTAAGACATGTTCAGCTAGTGAATGACATTGGAACAGTTTCCAGACAGCAAATCTGCCTCCCAAGATGCAGCTACTGACCATCACAGCTTCCTTTTGCCTTGATGAAGAAATTTTGACATCCCTCTTTACACTGATAAAAAGCAGATAAGTGTTATGAATTTAGTTTCTAAAAGTACTTAATTATAAAATTAATTATCCTGATACCATTGTCAAGACTTCCTACTGCTAACAGGTTACACTTCAGAAAGGTTTAAACTGCAGTGCATTTTCCAGTCTTCCAGCAATTTCACTCATCTTCTCAAATATCAGAGTTTAGATAGTATTTTATACTTTTACATACTATTTATATGCACTGAGGTGGTATCGGATTATTCAGACACTACTAGAAGCACACATACTCCATGCTACTTACTTGCTAACAATGGGCCTGTAAAGACAGGAATCCGTCTTTACTGTTGCATTAAGTACATCAGAATAAAACCTGAACAAATAAACCCAAGCCAAATATGCAAGGCTACTTCCAAAGTGTGCTTATGCAGAATTCTGTGCTGCAGAGCCTCCAACAACTCGTCCACACCCCAACATGGCAGATCATTGCATCAGCTGATCCCAGACATATACTTCTAAATAAAACATTATCATATTAACACTAACTCTGTGTTAATAGGACACCCTATGCGTGAAGGTGTCCCCGCTAAAACTGTTAGGGTTTTATTACAAAGATACTCAGAAATGGCTACCATTAAAATATTTACTGCTGGAATAGTAGATCTGGAGCAGAAGTTTTCATTTTGTATGACGATCTCTAACCAATAAAAAGAATCAATACCCCAATTTAAGGAAACTAGGGCCAGCAGAAACAACGGTCTTGCCACAAACTGCAGGATATCCAGTGCAAATCTGAGAACTTTCTTTTATTATCACTCTGCAGAAAACAGCTGCTTTGCTTCACAGATAGCATTAAGAAGTAGTTAGACATGTGTTTGGTTTGAGTTTTTTGTGGGGAGGACTACAGAAACTAATCTGCCCTTGGAAATATCAGGCACTTCAACTGTATTTTGGTATTTTTGGTATTTGATTTGTAAGAAATTATCAAGTGAGCCAGGGAGCAATACACATAAAATTAAATTACTTGATTAATTGAACTGCTACAGTAAGTAACTGTAGTTGACCAACAAATGAAATTAAAACATGACATTTTTCTGATATTTAGATAAAATGCATACCAAATATCTTAAGTGTAACATACACTCATGAACTGGGAAGAAAATCAATGGCTACTATTTTGATTTCTGGTCATGATTACCCCTCAAATTAGCCTATGGCAAATTTGCTGAAACTGTCAGAAAAAGAATATTATATTGCATATTTTAAAACCACCATTCTGCAAACCCATGTTAACAAAAAAAAAAAAGCAATAGAAATCATTATAATTTCATTTCATGTACTTTTATTAAACAGAGCACAATGTTTAACACTAAAGAACAGCATTAAAGGACACCTGTATTACACACAGTAGTTTTGTCCTATCATCATATCAAAATACTTCAGCTATCTTTTCTGTTTATATGGTATGAAACAGAGAGCAAGGATTGTTGTTCTGCTCAGTTTCAAGAACTATAAACTGGAAATAATTAACACCACTAAAAAACTTATCTGTTCCTTGAAAGAGTGCTACTACAACTGTAATTGAAAGCAATTTTCCAGTTTCAAAACCCTACTGATTTACACAAAACGAAGGCAGAATTCTAAATAGCCACTCAGCTATTTCTACCAGTATACGAGTACAGACACTATAAAAATACATTTGTCATGAGCATGACAAGTTTATCAAGTCAAAGAACCCCTGTTCACATGAAGCCTGGAGACTGCACTTAGCCAACCTCCATAAGCATAGATGGTGGACCAGACCACTGATTGACTTTGCCTAACCAAACACACCAAACATCAGATTACTAGTACAAAACTAGAACAACCGTAATGGGCAGCTTTTCCATGAAAGTAGATTACAACTCTAAGCTTTCCACCTTCAGCAACCTGCTTCCCCCCTCCCCCTCAATACACATAACTATAATGCATTTGGTAATATTTTCCTGGTACCCTATAAAATTGTAATTTCAGAAATTTTGGTATGATTGCATGTTTGCCAAAGAGAAATTCAAACAGCTTGAAAATCTACTTCAATACACAGTTATT